TGTAGCACAAGCATGAGCTGCTCTCGGGCACGGCGTGTTATCCTAGATTTTAAGGATTAAAGAATATTTTCTGCGAGGCTATATAGTTTGCATTTTATGGTTTACATGTTCATTCATGAATTTGAAAATAAATCGAAAATGAAGTTGAACTAGTAGTGAGTGAAGGTAAAATGCTGTAGACCGTTTCGACTCAAGCTATTTGACTGCTATATTCATTTCGTATTATCAAAACTGATACACACTAATGATACTATGAAGAAATATATAGGCATACATACATTTCTAATTTGCATTTGGTAAACCACCTGCTTATAGTTATATATAGCATTATGTGATTATACAGTGTTACATTTCTCCATGGACGGTACTCGAGAAAAGGACTTAGGGATGGTTTTAGTTTGAATGCTCGCAGAGCATAAATTATGATCCAGAAGTTGGATTTTTAAATAAAGATGGGACATATTCTAATGTAATAGATAATTTATTCAAAACCGAATTCACATTTTAGCAATACTTCATTATTTCTAAACACTTTTGTTATAAATTTTGAGAGACTTACATCAACCTGGAGGCCTTTCCATTCGTTTTTCACAGTGTCATATAATAGAAGGTCATTATTCCATCCCATCAAATGGAGGAGCCACTGCTAAAACAAAAAACAGCTTTCTATAAGTAATTGAAGACACAATTTTAAAAATCAGAGACAACATGATATTTCTGCATTAAAAATTAGCATACCGATTGATCTGCAATGAATTTCCCTTGTCCTATAAAATCACCTGAATCACATGACCATTCTCCATATCCACCAAAAAATATAATCCTGTAGAAGTAAATCTATTATAAAAATATGCTGCACAGAGGAATGTCCGAATCATCAAATATATTCGAATATCGATTTAGGCTTATGAATGCACATTGCACACATTCTCGACGACATCGTCAGGGGCATTTTGATTGAAAATAATAATTATTTTATTGTTTATGATCGTAATTGAAAATAGTCGTATGCGGCCGAGCAATAAATCACAGGAGGCATGAAGGATTTACATCAAGGCTGACTTAAAGAAGTACCCACTTGAAACACGATCGGCATGAATCTATGATTCAGCGAGAAAAATTAAAATCAATCTTATATCCATGTTGGCACACGACCGATTACTTCTTTATTAAGGGAGAATTTTGATATAGGGAGAAGTGAAAGGATTTAGCTTATCCATGTCAGCAGGCCAAATAAGCTGACGAAATACTAAATATTTATTCACTCTCTAACTCAGACGCGAGACTTTAAATTTCAATATTATAATCTTACTTGTCTCCAGTCACCCAACATCCCAATTTGTTTCTTCGAGATGGCTTCTTGGAGTGAATATTTGGTTTGATCCAGTTGAATTTTTTTAAGTCAAGTATGTGCATCTTAACAAGCAGGTGCATGAAAGAATTTTATTAGATAGCCTATTCACATTTGTCCGAAGATTTTTGAATATAACATTAATAATTATTAATAAAACAAGTTTTTCAAAAGTTTTCACCTCTAATCAAGTGTACCAACAACATGAAAAGCCTATATTAAACTTATGTATAGTTGTTAACTAACTAAACTATAGTGTTCTAGTTGAACAACAGTGTGTACTAGTGTTTAGTTGAGCCTAATTTTGACTGTTTTATACTGTCACAACTTGCACAAGATATGAAGCTAATACTGATTTAGGAAAGATATTTTGTCCTTCAAAATTTTGATATATGACACTCACAGAATTGCTGTTGCCCAACATTGAAAATCCAGCAAAGATGTAGAGAGACGATTCTATTATAGCGGCACAGCTTCCAGATGCAGTGGGAGGTTTATCTCCTTGTGTAAATTTCTTTTTCCTGTATTGAAAATAGAGTTCTGTTCATTGCTATTGGGTGCTGTTGATCTTAGTATTAAATTAGAGAACTAGAAACTTCAACAAGTAAAGTTATGACAGGATTTTTAAAAAAAAACAGCGAAAAAAGATTGCTTCAAAGCGACACATAAATATACCTTGGGTATCAAGGGTTTGTTTTTCAAACACACTCTATTTAATTTATCTCACCAAACACGTTTGTTGATATTGTACAACCAAACATCTTCTGAATCCATGAAACGTTCTTCCTGTGGGGAATATAGAATAATAAATACTACTAGAGAAGTAGTCACATAGATCCAATAGAGCATATTATCAAGTTGGGAAAATGATCATGTATGGTTAGTAGTATTCGCCTCAGCGGAAGAAATAAATCTCTGCCATCACTCTGTATATTATGGATTTTCCAAACAAAAAAACCTTTGCCTGGGTAAGATAAAAACAAGATAGAGGTTATGACAGTGAATGTTATACGATACCAATCGATTCTATCAAGATAGCAACTGAATTAGTTACCATCAATCAGGGCTGGGAAGTCGGAGCTGGTGCCTTAAAATTTTGTTGGAGCCAATCTTATCATATTAGAATAGATAGAAATTTTAGTATCTCCAGCTTTCAAGTATAGTTATACATTTGTAATTTTTTCAATAATAATTCACACAAATAATGAAATCTATAATTTTCAGCTTATAATTTGAATTCCTTATAACAGTTTTGAGTCTTGCATTCGGTATAGATTGCATTTGACTGCTGTTTCATGGCAGTTGTAATGCAGAATACCTCAGGTATATTTAGGGATGTAAGTTTCGAATATTTAATTTTGAAATTGAATTCTAAATAAAAATTTTGCGATTCGAATATTTAGGAATCTGATTTTATTTAGTAATAATACCATATTATATTATTAACTACAGAAAAGTTTGTTATATAACAATAATAATGATCAATCACCTAATAGGTAAATTTATGTTTTATCGATCCGTTATTTATTGTTTTTACTAAAATTCATCAAAATGCAATACGCTAGTTAATTTCAATACCCATTGTGATATAATCTTGAAGGCACAATGATTTTGAGGAGAATAATGATGTTTTTATTATAGGCCTAATGATATTATATTAGTACTTATCGACACCTCAAAACCAAACAGTGCTAAGTCCACTTTTTCAAAAAATGACATTTTTCAATTGCTGATTTTCCTGGACTTAGCTCTACATTTTGGTCTATTTGCCTTATCTCTAGGTGCTCTAGATCTCAAGACAGCTATGGACATAACCCTGCTTTTTTTAGGGCATTTGAGAACTAAACAGAGCTGTGTCTACTATAGTGGACTTAGCTCTGGATAACTGCATTGTAAGTTGGCGCTAAGTCCGTTTTTTGGACATAGCTCCTCTCAAAAAATATAATACAAAGCGCTAAGTCCATACCAGCCTCTATAATAACATAATAAAGGGGCCCTAAGTCCAATAAAATTGTTTCTGGTCCAGAAAAATTGAGAGCCAAAAAGGGTTAAGTCCAAAAAAAACCCCTCCAAAAAAAATTGGGGCGGAGCACAAATTTTTTTATACCATCTAAATATGGCCTTCGTTGTAACTTTGTTGGACCATAAAAACTAGACATCCTCGATGTAAGGTATTAGAGAAATAAAAAAAAGGAACAAAAAAAAAAACGTTTTTTGCGTTTTTCTCAAAACTAGAAAAATGGACTTAGCCCAATTTGGATTTCATGCGTCGTTATAAGGTGCCTCGCAAAATTATGACCCATATAAAATATAACAAATTCCAGGAGTGTCATGACTAGAGGGAAGCCGTAAACGCAAGAAAAATACTGTCATGCTATCTATCCCCTCATAGCACCTGGATAATTATTTTTTGGCTTCCGCTTTAGGAGACCTGTAATTAATGTCAGACATTCTGTCTGTCTGTAAGGGTTGCTGTAGTACCTAAACCGATCCATGAATGGAATTTCTCACATGGTTTATCCTGTCACCCTAGTATTTGTATGTTTCACCGAAAGTCAAGATTGATGTTTCAGTTCCATGGCAGTGGGCGTCAAGCCGTCAAGTTATATCTGAGTTCCAGGGTGCCTACTAGCGTTTTTAAATAGAATCGAGTAGCTTTATTCTGAAATTGCTTCGAATCAATTCAAATTGATTAGAATTGCTCTCATCTGAAATTATGAAACTTACACCCCTAGCCTATGGAGCCTGAACCCTGCGCAGCTGAAGCTGGGGACATTGTGATTTCAAACCAGCTCCCCAGCCAGAGTCAATACTTCATTCTGAATAAACACTGAATGCCACATGTTAATATCTGAGTGGTTGTACTTGATTTTGTGATTAGTATTTGAGTCTCTAAATTTGTATCCCTGCTTGTAGCACACAACAAATGAATTTACATGGCCAATAGTTCATTCATTCGAAATTTCAGGTGAAAAAAAATTACATATTGGTCAACTTACATTGTATCCTCCCCATACTATCACATGACCTTTGTATGCCACAGCGACATGACCACTCCTGCAGTCAGGGACTTCCATATCAATTTATCAAATGTATTATAACATATTTTTCCAAATATATCTCTAAATCATATTTACCGGTATATCTCTAAAATGTACAAGAAGAACAAAAAATCAAATGAAACTGTTTCTAGGGTAAAAGAGCATTGCACAGAGGATTTCTGTAACACTAGTACGAGAAAAATCATTGCCTGCTGTTGCTATAACTAAATTGAGCATATGAAAAATCATGCAGATCACAATATTCAACAAATTGCATAATTATATCTTAAAAATCAATGGTGAGCATGACCAATCAAATAAACAAAACCTAAACCTTTCTTTATTAGTGGAGTCTCTGTATTGGTATATTATTTTTCCAATTTCATTAAATGAATTAAAACCTTCCACTCAAGCTTATAAGTTAATTTCTAATAAACATGTAAAATTTGTATGAAGTGTCAAGCTTGTACATGCTATATAACTGTAACAACAATCCAGTATGTGGATGAGCAACAAACTCATTTGCATTTAAGATCCCCGATGCCTATTGAGCGCAAGGTAGAATAGAATAGTTTTATACTCAAAAAATAATATGACAAAATGTATTAAAATTTCTACCATTTATTGTTACTGCACAAAAACCTCTAGTTAAGGTATGATCTGTACCATGTCACAGACTAGATCCATGTCGAACAAAAACCAAAAAAATTTAAGATGTTGTAAAGGGAAAGTATATAAAGCATAAATTTTTGATTCATTCTTTCAGAAAAAAAAATATAAAATACCAGATAGAATAAATCAATATGGTAAAAATAAGTAAAAGAAAAAGGCAATATAATATGATGGAAAAACATTATATACAATAAAAATGCAATATTTTCAAAACTAGACTGATCAGAAATAAAAAATGTGGAAGGAATGTTCATAATCCAGTTTACAAAAAAAAAACTTGCAACAAAACATCCGATATTCCAATGCATAAAGTGTCATGAACAATTCACATACGGTAAGTGAAATAAAGCATGAAAGCTGTGATGCAACTACGACCTGCTTTCAATACACAGCATATGATAAGTTGGGTGTTCGTCCCGGGGTTCACTCGGGATAGTAAATTTGAAGATATAAAGGCACTGTTCTGCACCAATTACCAATGTGCATTGTTATAAATGGAGAGCAATTGCTTTGAATAAAAAAATTTTAAATTCAGCCGGTGTTGAGACTCTGCAACTTGATTGGTTTAAACAGGAATAAGATGCTTTGACGCAGAAATGGACTAATAACAATCAATTGATGCAGCAGAGTTGCTGGGTATTTATGTGTTCATTCTGAACATTTCAAACACAATTTGAGTAGTAAAATATAATCAAAAATGTAATCATTATTGATATTATTATGTAACAAAGCGAGATGTACCATGAATTGAAGGTACTAATGCTTTCACATTATTTTTTTAAGTTATACTAGGAAACGAAAACCGTCAAAACCTGGTTTGAGATTGTGATAACCTGAAGCCCTAATTAAAAATAATAGAGCCTAATTGGAAGCACTATTGATAAACAGACAGTTAAATCAATTGGAAAAACAGAAGTTTTGAATTTTTACAGAAGACAGATTATATTGTGATTGTGAGTAATCTTCAAATTTAGGTAGTTAATTTCACTCCAACAATACCATTAGCATATCTCTTCCTCTGATGGATGGCCAACCATAAGTGACAACAAACAAGAAACAACAATGTACTAGTTAATTAATGCAATATAGGTAGGTATTAACAAAACAAAATAATGTGTATTGATGTTTTATAAATGTGTAGAACCTTTGTCAGTGAATTTAATAACTTTCTCTGTACTTGGTAAGTATAATATACAATAACTATTTTCAATGGCCATCAGTAGAAATTAAAGAATAAAAATAGATAAGTATATGGACATAATAAATGAAAATAACAGAATTACATCATTTAATAACCAATTCATAACTGTCAACAGTTTTATATACAAAAAAAAAAAATTGTTCATGATTTAATGAATGATTGTGAGCCTGCATTGTATCAACTTTTATAACAGAAATCAGTGCTTATTGAGAATTTAAACTTCAAGCAATATTTTTTGCTGATCTATCAATTTTTATCCATGTTCTTCTCACTGCTGAGACTGCTTTCATCATCAGCATCTTCTTCTGGTAACAAATCTGCTAAATCAAGTCTTTGTATTGCCTTTAACAATATCTTTTTAAGCACTGAACAAGTGAAAGGATATGGTGACTGTGTTCGATACCAATGCAATAAAACAATCTGAGCGGGTGATAAGTTATAGGTCTGAACAGCACTTTCTATTATTCCAACGTCACGAAAGGAAAATTCCAGTTCTGATGCTAGTCCTCTCCAATCACTTTGTGATACGCTTTGTATCTCTAAGCCCAAAATCAACGACATATACGTGCTATATGGCAATCCCAAGCTTGCCCTGGCTGCCTCTGAATTGATATCTTTTAAGAGAATAGCAATAGTCATTTCGATATTCATACTGTTTATATACTGGTTGGAGTCGGTACAGGTGGGAAGAAGATTTTGTTGTTTAATGGCATTACGTATCAAGTCTTGAATATTTTCATCGTTTATTGCTTCGCGCGGTGGTACCTTAGGTGGAATGGCATCAGTTGGTTCTTCATCAATAGATTGTGCCATTGTTTGCATCATGCTATCTCCAACAGCACCTTCCAATGCATCAGCATGATTTGCTAAATTTACATAGGGTCTGTCTGTCTCATCTGTATCCACATGTTCTCTGGAAGCGATTCTGACAATATTGTTCGGAGTTCCAGGCATTTCACTAGTAGCATTGGTTGCACTGAATTGTAACATATTAGCTGTGAAATTTTCATCCGTCAAATAGTCCGAATCTACACTGATTTGAGAAGTTGGATCGATAGTTTTTTTAAGATCACCGGAGTCTTCAGGAGGTGGCATTAGAGAACGATTTGTGTTATGATGACGAGGTCCAGCATTTACTGAACCATTAGAAAATGGGTTTGAATATGACCTGTGCCCAGTATCATTGGAATTTTGCTAGGAAGTTCATACGATGGGTTATGGACTCGATTAAACCTAAACTGCATTGATTGTGGTGATCGCTGTGAAACATTAGGCATGGCGTGAGAAGAACCGGCAGCTAAATCTCCAGAAAGCCTCATATCAGGTTCATCTTGTGAAATATAAATGTTGTTCAAACCATTTCTTTCAGAACCGGAAAGATCTCGTAAACTTCTTGCTGGCAGGTCGTTTTTTCCGTTCAGGAGGTATCCTTACAAGATTAGGATTACCATTTAGATCATCAAATCTTGAACATAAAGTGGGTCTTTCAGGTTGACGTCCCCGACTTAGATTTGTCAATATTTCAGATAATTTCATCATACCATGGACGACTACAGATATCTTCACGTCAACACTGTAATTTTTATCATAAAAAGTTACCCTGGAGCATTGAACACCATTATTATGAACTTCCTGTACTTCATCTACAATGGCAATAGAATCCGTTTTAAATAACTTATCCAGAAGTATTTTCCCTTTCCGACCAGCATGTGAATTATGCAAGCTGAAACACTCACATAAGTTTACACGACTTGCATGAAATATCTCATATCGCCAGTTTCCTTTTCACTTTGAAATATCTGCCATCTACTCATGTAATGCATAGCTTCAGTTATTTTGCTGTACCAGGTGCCAAGAACATTATGGTCGGTATCTGTCATAGCAGTGATAGCATCTTGAACAATTAAATGCTTGTCTTTAAGTATTACACATATGTATCTTCTCATTCCACCTTTCATATAATGTTCCCCTTTTTCAAGTCCACAAAATTCTTCCTCTGTGAATTGAAAACTCAATTTTAGTCGGAGGTCTTTCTTTGTAAATGTCCCAGGCTTCGGACTCACTATGTCATATTTAAAAAGTCTGATGTCACATTTCATTAAACCATTATCTGCTTTGCTTGTCCACAATTGTCCCCAGCGCATCTTTGGACTAAATGATTTCTGCTGATGCATAACATAACCACAGAATAACTCTTCAGACTCTTCTTCAGCAATACCATTTGATGGTCGAATTTTAGGCCTAACAGCCATATCGATAGCGCAGTAGTGCAAATACTTTTATAGTCTACAGATGTAATAAATGTAGAGAAAACAATGATAGAGATTTGCATCTATGGAAGAAAATTTTTGCTGAAAACGTAGTATAAACTTTCTTGAAAAAAAAATTATAGACTCAACTCAAGTACAGAAGTATTCACTTAAATTGGAAACAAAAAGGGACATTTTGTTTCTCAATTTTACAACACGAATGTATATATTTTTTCAAATTCGTTTCTTAGTATTATTCAAAAGCTGGAAATATATAGGCCTACATGAGATTTTTTACATTTTTTTTTGTTATTCCAACAATGTATACATCACAATCTACCAATTCGATTACCAGCCACCCAAACGATGTTGGGTATGGGGTTACTAGATTACGGTAGTTAGCCAATTATTATGTTTCAGATGCATTAATTCTGAATATGAAGATTTTCCGATGCGGAAACACTCCAGGGGTCTTATTACTGTATAATTTCAATTTGGCTGTATGGGTCTCAGTTTTAGAGAAGTCAATAGCTTTGCTTAATTTTGTTCGACTACTTAAATTGTTAGTTTTTACAAATATGTAATTATATAAACGCTTCTTTAAAGTACCATTATAATTAAACAGTTACCCCAGCCCACTCTCACCCTGCGGTCAACGTATTATTCATCTACAGCAGGCCTGCACAACATACGGCCCGCGGGCCGCATGCGGCCCGCTTGATACTTCTGTGCGGCCCCCGGGTGATTTGGAAACACGCCACTTCTCGGGTCTAACAATCAAAGACGGCATTGTTATGCAAGCGTGCCGCTACTCCGATCATATTCGAAATCGTGAGATTTCTGTTTTACACTAGTTTCAATAAATATCAAATTTTGTGTGAAATTGGTGTGCCGTTCGCAACCCTTAAAAGTCGTCGCTCGACCTCTCGCCCCCCAGTTTGCAAAACTCTGATTTAGATATCTCAGTAGTCAGACTGAATCATGCTCAAAACAATATCGGTATACAATCTCACACCCATTAGTGCATATTAGCAACATATTAATAACCCCGTTATTTTTTTCTAGCAGTTTATAAAACTGAAGTTTTATTTTTTTGATTCAAATTTAGAACTTACCGTAAAAAACAATTTCTTCATTTATGAATAGTGCAGAAATTCTCGCACAAAGGATATTGCTATTTATTGTAAAATTTCAAATATATTGGAGCAGATTTTGTAGAAAAATGTAATTTAGCAGTCGAAAAAGTACAACAGAGGAAGATCTATTGCTACTAAACGGATTGTTTGTCTAGCCTACAATGGAAATATCCAATAATGGTAGATATGACTAAATAAATTGTCATACATATATTTGGGACGATTTTACAAAACTGAACCCGAGTAAAATATTTTCCTGCACTCAGTTTATACTGCAACAGGCAATACCTAATTCTGATAAAAAAGAAATATTGAAAATGAAGGTTGGGTTTTCAAGGATGATGAACCACTAAATATATATTTGCCATCTCATATGCAAAATACTGTACCTAGTTTTTACTCAATAAAATAAGATTCTTCATATTTTCAAGCTCCCCAGTAATGAAAGTGTTTCATTAAATTTAACTGTTTCACAATATCATTTTGATTTGTAGTTCATCTTGTGAAATATGTATGTGGCAAAGTTTGCGGCCCGCCGGTCCTTCAAATTTATGCTTGCGGCCCTCGTGGTAATTTGAGTTGTACAGGCCTGATCTACAGTATCTATTGTACTCACTGTATAAACGGGGTCTTACTACTTACTGAATACAGCGCACCGCAAGAGAGCAAAATAGCGCAAAACAGAAGGAAACCAGCGCAAAACAGAGGGAAACAGTGCAAAACTGGAGACTGGACTACCATTTCCTGCCACGAAAGAACAACGGCGCCTCTCACCATGGTTTTATGGCGCTATTTCCGGTATATTTACAAGGTTATGTACCGGATTATAGGTCATCATGCAAAATTTTATCTACTTTTTTGGTGCTCCAGAAGTATGTGCAGCAATATGTCGCACAACCTGAATCCGCTACACACACACATACTATTTTCAGGTTGTGCGCCATCTTGATGCACATACTTCTAGAGCAGTGGTCTTCAAACTTTTCATGACGCGACCCCATTTCAAAAAATTATGACGTATGATGAGCATTGGCACCCCAAAGTATATTTATTGAAATAGAAAAAAAAATAAAAACTGATCCCACTTTTAACCGATTGCTTCTCTTCGCAGAGCTTTTGAGATTGTGGCATAATGTAGCTTAAGCTTCTTATCGATAGAACTTTTTGACAAACAGCTCATTTATTTCGTTTGGCACTTTATTTCGGTTAAACCATGTTTCAAAAAAGGATTGATTACATGACCTTTTCTTTTATGTTTTTCGATCATTTGTGAAACTTAGCAAACAATAAAGCAAAAGCAACGATCATAGTCCATTACAGTGAAAACACAGCAACTGTTTACTTTAAAATTTAAATTATTGTCGTTACACAATAGCCTTATTATAGAGATATCACTCTAATTCAGAATATCGCTAGTCGGCCTAGTGAAGTGTAGACTGCACACTGTTGTGTATCAGCTCATTCTTTTTCACACGAACCCATTCGTGATCAACATGTCATAATTACTTTCTTGTAATTACTCCTTGTCTGCATGCTTATTATTCGTGTGAAATGTATAGCGTTAAAACTGTGTTATACTGACGTTTTACTTATAATAACTGTAATATTTTTGTCTACTGGCAATTTGGTAATATCCAAGACATCACACACACAATAAAATAATAACAGAAGAAAACATCGCCGGACACTCTGCGACCCCATAAATATTTAAGGCGACCCCACCTGGGGTCGCGACCCACACTTTGGTGATCACTGTTCTAAAGCATAGGTTCTCAAAGTGCTCCGTACGGAGCCCCAGGGCTCCGCGAGAGAAACCCAGGGGCTCCGCGAGCTATTCGATTACTTTTCAAAATACTGACCAATTTTGTAATTGTTCAAAGAAGCAATAACAGCTTTGATAAAATCTAACAACAATATAGCCTCGAAATATGGCAAAGAGACGGAGTTAAAAAATGACATTATCTGTAAGCAGGAGCGCAGCCAGGATTCTTAAGAGGGAGGTGGTTCAATTTCCGCGCAACATTCGCGATTAAAAAACGGATGACGAGATTTCTGTTGCGTAAAATATTCAATCCATGACCGATGCGAGCATTTAAAGTGTCTCGTCGTTATAATGTACTTGTGCTCATCTTTACTCAACTTTGATTCGAGATTACTATTAGGATTACTAAAATGAAAGAATACTATTCTAATAACATAAAATATGTGATAAACTGCCAACTGTAAATAAATTGGAGTCGTATATTTGCGATCTTGGGAATTGTCAAACTTGATTTGTTCTTCCGCACTTAAGATTATTATTAAGCAAGATATCGCCGTTCAAAAAATCACAATGTCTGGACAAAATACGAACAATTGAAATTTATTTTATTGCATTCGGCTCCGTCGGTAGTTTCAGAATGAAAAAAGGTACATCACGGATCGCGCGCACAATTGATTGCGTGCGGCTCCGTCGGCAGTTTCAAAATGGGTAAAAAAGGTACATCGCACGCACAATTGACGATTTCGCAGTTACTACGATGAAAATTTAACATAACAGCAAATTTTGTGATTTACTATGTCTATAAAAGCGTTTTCAATCTGAGGTGAGTCTGCTGAAACCAAACATGTGATCTTCCATTTTAAGTTTTAATATTTTGGAATGCCGCTTTTCAATCAAGAAATTTGAGTTGCGGATCTACCTCTTCATTAATTATTATTTTCAGCAGTTCGTTGCCGATGACTATAAAATGGTAACATATTTTTCACATTGAACTCATAATTCCCCACGAGAACAAAAAAGCAATTAAAGTCGTCCGTCATTGTGTAACAATACATTTATATATATGCCGAGGGTAATTTTTTTTAGGGAGAATAAACACCGGCGTAAAGATTGTAGGTTCAAATACACGCCGCCATGCTGAGGAAAAAATCGGCGATTGTAACAAAATGCAATCGCGCACATTATTAGCGGCCTTTTAAGTCTTCCAAAAATGTCAAAAGATTCGAACCCGAATTTATTAGTATGTTTGTCAAGTGTCAAATTTACAGCTTTAGTATATATAATTTATGTTTGAAATTTAGATATATTTATGACTTGTATTAACTCTATTAAAAAAAGTTCAGCATTTAAATTGAGTAAAGTACTTTTAACTTGCTCAAGAATATTAATCTGAAAGTAACAATTTTAACATTTATTTTGGGGCTCCGTGAATAATAGTCCACAATTTCAAGGGTTCCGCGACACCAAAAGTTTGAGAACCCCTGTTCTAAAGGACCCTTTTCACCTAACCCTAACCTTAAAGCCAACCATATCCATATGGAAAATGTTCGAAATTATGGTACCCAAAATGTGTCACCAGCAGGGGCAGACCTGCCATTACAGCATTACTGGCTACATAGGTTGGTTTGTGTTTTTAATTTGCTGCCGTGGTACTCCAACTCAAAACAAGGTACCCCGAACTCATTGCTAAATTTTTTTCTACTTCACACTGTTTCCCTCTGTTTCGCGCTGTTTTGTGGTATTTCGCGCTGTATTCAGTAAGTAGACCGGTATAACTGTATAAACGTTACCGTATTTCATAAGACTGTAAGAATATGCACAGTTAATCAGACTGTGGCCCTGTGATTTCCCTACACCCCCCCCCTATAGGGGGTGAACACCCCCCCTAAAATTTCAAACACCCCCCCCTAATTTTGAGGTGCGATTCGAAACTGTAATTCCTGACTCAAGTATAATTGTATTCAAATATAACGACTATGGCATATTTATCAGTGTAGATGAGGGGTTCCGAACCGCAGTCTGCGGGCCAATTACGGCCCGCGTGGCAATTTAAAATGACCCGCCGAACTTGAGTGAAATAGTTTAACCCTTCATGTGCTACCTTTTGAGTTTTAGATACGTCTATTGTTACATCATTATCACAGTTTAAGCACGTTTATTTCGTAACAATTGAATTATACCGGTATCCTATGTATACGTGTGGGTAT